TGGGTTTCTTCCTTGACTGTGCTCCACAGTATTTTTTGAGATTGAGTCTGAAATTAACTGGTTTGACTAGACTAACTGGTCAGCAGCCCTAAGACCCTCCCATCTCTACTTCCCTAGGGCAAGGGTTACAGGTGTATGCTGCTGCACACTTTTTTTTTTAAATCCAGGCACTGGGGATCTGAACTCAAGTCCTCATGCTTTCACTGAGCCATGTCTCTAGCCCTTTGTTTGGTTTTGGAGTTTTGTGTGTGTTTGTGTATGCAGGTATATGTGGAGAGGTATGTATGCATATGTGTGTGCATGAAGGTGGTGGAGGGGTATATATGCATATGTGTGTGCATGAAGGTGGTGGAGGGGTATATATGCATGTTTGTGTGCTTGCAGATGGTGGAGAGGGTATATGTGCATATGTGTGCATGCAGGTGGTGGAGGGGTATATATGCATGTTTGTGTGCTTGCAGATGGTGGAGAGGGTATATGTGCATATGTGTGCATGCAGGTGGTGGAGAGGGTATATATGCATATGTGTGCATGCAGGTGGTGGAGAGGGTATATATGCATATGCGTGTGCATGAAGGTGGAGGCCAGAGGACAACCTCAGGTATTCTCAGGAGCCTTCTACCCTGTTTTAAAACACAAGTTCTTTCACTGACCTGGAGCTCTCCAAGTAGGCTAGGCTGGCTGGCCAGGGAGACCCAATGATTTTCCTATCTCTACCTCCCCTCTACCCTAACATTGCGATTACAGGTGCAGACCACTGTGTCTGGCTTTTACATGGGATGCTGGGGATCAAATCCAGGTCTTCATAGTCACAAGGCAAGTACTTTGTGCATTGAGCCATTGTTCACTGAGCCTTCTTCCCAGCTGCTCTTGCTCTTCCCCAGTGAGAGGCTTCACACTCTGTGGTTTCCCTTGAAGCTGGGGAAGGAAAGGAGAGCCTGCCTCTTCCCCTCACATTGTGTCTCTTATGGAATTAGGAAAATGCCTTAGTTCCCAGAGGCTGGAGCACTAGGCACAAGCTTCAAACTTAAGATCTGCACAGCTATTTTATTTTATTTGGTTTTTCGAGACAGGGTTTCTCTGTTTAGCTTTGGAGCCTGTCCTGGCACTTGCTCTGTAGACCAGGCTGGCCTTGAACTCACAGAGATCCGCCTGCCTCTGCCTACCAAGTGCTTGGATTATAGGTGTGTGCCACCAACGTCTGGCGAGATCTACACAGTTATATTCCCACAGGTGACACTGCCCATGGTGCAGGGCAGAGACCTATGTGTTTCCCATGTGTCCTCATTACCAAGCAGAATAATTGAGGTTGAGAAGAGAAACATTTATTAAACTGCTGTTGTCACCAAGCCAGGGATGACCATTGATTTTCCCCTACATAACCTAGGACCCTGAATCCTTAGCTTATTATCAACTTCACTTTTCTACACAAGACATGCCAGGCAGTCTTGTGAGTTCTCTGTGAGATCTCTGTGAGTTCGAGGCCAGGCTGGACTGACAGCCTCCAAAACAATACAGAGAAACCCTGTCTCGTAAAAACCAAAAAAAAAAAAAAAGAGTTCTACACAAGACACTTCCTTTCTCTCATGAGTTCAAATCCTCACCCCAGTTCTCTTGTTTGCAGTCTTTAACATTATACATGTTTGGGTTAACAGGACACAAACTAGCCTTGGCCCTCTAGTCCTTAACCACTGAGACATCTTCTGGTCCTCTGCAAGAGCAGCAGGTGATCCTAACTGCTGACATCTCTCCTCACCAGGTTTCTTAATTTCTAAAATGATGTCTACACACCTAAGGGATGAAACAAAAAAGGCAGCTACACTGACTACCAAGTAATATGCAACAGAATGTGGCATTGGGGACAGACATTCTCAGTTATTAAGATATAAACAATAACTAAGAGAGATGAGGAGATGAGTTTAGATCCCCAGAACCAATATGGACTGAGTGTAGCAACACATGTCTGTGATCCCAGTGCTAAGGAGGCAAAGATAGGAGAATCCCAGGGACTCACTGACCAGCCATTTTGGTCCATCAGTGAACTCCAGATTCAGTGAGAGACTGCCTTAGAATGCATCGATGAAGGAAGACAGTGGACATCAACTTTTGATCTCTACAAGAGCATACACAGGTGTGCACTCATGCACACGTGCACACGAAAACACATAAATACAGTAAAATGAATAAAACAAACATGGAAAAGAACACATGGAGGCTGGTAAGATTGGAAATGGCTTGGTGAGTAAAGGCTCTTGCTGACAAGTTCCATGACCTAACTAAGCTGCTTCCAAGGAACCCAGATGCTGGAAGGAGAGAACCAACTCCTAAAAGTTGTCCTCATACCAATAGACTCTAACCATAGCATGCACAAATGCACACAAACACAAAGAATAACAAATGTAGCTGGATAGTGGTGGAGCACGCCTTTAACTCCAGCAGTAGAGAGACAGAGTCAGGCGGATCTCTGAGTTTGAGGCCAACCTGGTCTACAGAGTGAGTTGCAGGACAGCCAAGGCTACATACAGAGAAACCCTGTCTTGTAAAACCACAAAAAAGTTTAAAAAGCATATCAATTAAAGAAAACAGAAATAAATTCAGAAAAAAATACCCACAGTCACCAGTTGCTGCTTTTTCCATGTCAATGAGGCTAAAAAAGAAAAAGAAAACAAAACAAAACAGAGTGCTGCTGCCCTGTAGCATTCTGCAAGTTCGAGGGTTAAGCATAAGTACTCTAAGATAATGAATGAATGGCTTGAGTACCACGTTGGAGGTTATGCACAGAGTGTTATACTTACCCCTTCCCACAAGAATCCAAGCCAGATCTTATTCAAGAAATTAAGCCTACACAGCTAGTAGCTCACAAGGTTGAGATGTGGAAGCAAGGTGTGGAACCCTAGAGCAAGGTTTCACTCCAGGAGTACATAACAGGGTCTGGACCACTGAGAGACTTTTCATTTGTACTTCATGATCACTAGATGTGGTGGAAGCCAGGTCTCCAGCCCTTTCAGCGTCAGGAGAAGCTGGGGTGGAAATGCACATTGGCCCTGCTGAGAATCTCTGTTCTAGGACTAAGGATCTGACCCCACATCTATTAAACACATGTCCTTTTCCAAGGTAGATTTTCACAGGGTTCTCTGCTTACTTTTTTCTATATTTTTCATTTTTAAAAAATGTAGCTGTATGTTGTGGTTTAAATCAGTAACTCCAGCACTCTAGAGGCTGAAAGGGGGATTTTTTGTGAGTTCAATGTAAGCCTGAACTGCATAATAAGTAAAAGAGGATCTTAAAAACAAAACTCCTCAGCAAGGGGTGGGGTGGGGGCGACCCAAGCCTTTAGACCCAGCCCCTTGGGAGGCAGGAGCAGGTGGATCTCTGTGAGTTCAAGGCCAGCATGATGTACAGAGTTCCTGAATAGCCAGGGCATTTACACAGAGAAACCCTGCCTTAAAACAAACAAAAAAACAAACTCCTCTAAATATTAAATTATCATGATAATACATGCTTATTGTAGCAGATGAAAGTATAAAAGTATCTATGTGTTCACATAGATAAGCCCTATCTCTCTGTACTGGCTCCTCTGGGCTGTTTGCAGTTCACATGGATAAGGTGCCTTGGCAAGCTGCCTAATTTTCCTACGGTTCTACTCAATCCAAATACACACAACATTTCTTGTTGGACATTCTGGGCACCTCTTACATCTTCCAGGGTGGATTTTGAAAATGCAGCCTCTTTAGGGGTTCGTGAACAAGCGATTCGAATCTGCCAGCCTAAGGGGGGCACTGAGGCCTGTCACACAGGCTGCTGGATGGAATGTCGGGTGAGGAACTGACCTGACCTTGCCTCAATGGCTGGAGAACCGTCCAGGCAAACTGTCATGGCTTTTTCTCTCACCCTGTGTCGGAGGAGGGGGCATGCTGCCAGGCATAAGTGGCTAACAGTGGCGCTCCCAGAGGCAAGTCCCCAGCGGGTAAGGCTGTAGGCAGATGTGCTTGGTCTCTTACTCAGAATTTGATCTGCCATTCCTCCACAGCTTCAGGATCAGAGCCTAGGGCTAGAGAAGGACCCTGGGGAGAACCACACCCCCTCATAGAGGACACACCCAAAATCTCTTGCACAGCCCAAGAGGCATCACCTCTTCTCTACAGGGGGACAGGAATTCTGGGCATAGAACAAGCCGGAAACTAATTGAAGGAAGAGACGTTAATTCTCTGGAAGGTGAAAAGGGAAGAGCACATCTGCTCCGTGAGGTGAGGCTGATGGAGGGTATGTGGATGCGGAGCGAGGTAAATGCTGGATGTTCCAGGGTGTTGGAGTTGGGTGTGCAGATTCAAGGAAGATGGGTTCCTACAGCCAACTGTCAACACTTTCACTTTAGAACCCATTTCTGCCTTAGAAGGAGTGTGTCTTATAGTTTAAGAGTAAGAGCCCTGCTTCTGTGCTTTGGCAACCCTTTGCGAAGAATAGGAAAGTCTCAGAGAGGAAACTTAACAAGTCATTTTCATAACCCACCCATCCAACACCCAGTGCAGGGTACCTAATCCACTGACCTGACTATTGGCCAGATAGTGACTGCTGGAATCTTTGGATGGATGGATGGATGGATGAGTGCATGTGTTCATGCATTGATGAACACATGAATAGATGTATCTGTGAACATGTCGATGGACAGATGCATGCATGCATATGCAAATACATGCATAAGTGGATGGAGGGATGAACGGAAGCATGCATGGATGAAGAGACAAATGCATGGCTAGGTGAATGAATGCATAGGTGGACGGAGGGATGAATGAAAGCATGCATGGATGAAGAGACAAATGCCTGGGTAGATGGATGCACGCACAGATGGATGGGAGGATGAATACGTGGGTGGGTGGATGGATGGGTGGAGTGATTCCTGTTTGACCCTCAGGCCCACCCTCCCGCAATTTCCCAAGAAGAGTCCAGGAGACTCTTCCTGACTTGCACCTGGCTGGCATCCCCGCGCAGCCAGTGCTTACCTTGTGCTGCTTCCACGTTGCTCCCAGCGGCTTCACCTCGTGTTTGCTGTGCCTGCCTTCCTCCAGGCACAGGTAGCACACTGGGCTCCGACAGCTCACGCAGTACATGCTGTAGTTCTCCATTTCGTGCTCCGGGCACGTGGGGAACTTTCTCGGCACGCTGGCCCCGGCACCCCCTGGGCTCCGGCATCCTCCTGCGCTGGGAGTGGTGGATGTGCCGACTGAAGTAGGGCTAGCCTCTGGGGGTGTGGGAGGCGGCGGTGGCTGAACTAGCCGATGCTTAGCGAAGGGGCCCCGGGACGGGTGGCACTTGAGCTGGCAGGTGGCGCAATAGAGCACGTCGCATTGCTCGCAGAGAGTGGCTGCCGGCTCCGGTGGGGTGCGGTCGCACAGCTGGCAGATGGCCACCGCTGGGGCTGCAGATGCCCCCGCAGCTACCCCACGGCCCTGCTGGTACCGCTGCACTATGCCCTCCAGCAGCCGGTTGCGCTGGAAGCCTCGCAGACCGCGGTGATCCAGGGAGGCGCTGCGGTGGCACTGAGGGCAGGTGATGGAGCTGGAGGATGAGCAGAGTGAGGAGCAGGCAGCGCCCCGGGCCGCGGCGGCAGAAGAGCCCGGGGGCGCAGGCACCATGGGCAGCACGCGGACTCCGTTGGGGGACTTGAGGCTAGGGGTGTAGGAGCCATAGCCGCTGTCAGTCTCGCTGTACAAGCTCAGCTTGTCCGCGTGGTCTCCACCTGCAGCCGCCCCGCCGCCCAGGCCTCCAGCTGTGCTAGCTCCGGCGCCTCCGCAGGTCGCACCCGCAGCAGCGTCCTGATCCGGAGGGGGCGCGGCGGCGGCAGCAACGGCGGCACCACGCGAAAGCAGGAGCGGCGGGGGCAGGTGCTGCTCGCCGTCCGGTGTCTGAACCGCGATGGTGCGGGCGCAAGGCAGGCAGACATTGTGAGAGCAGGGCAGAATGATGGGCTCCCGGAACAGGGAACCGCACACGGGGCATTTCAGCTCCTCCTCCATCGCCGCTCGGGACCAGCGAAGAATGGTCAAGCTCGGAAGACAAGAGCAGCGGGGCGGAGGAGATCCGCGCTGCTTGAGACAGGAGGCGGGCGCATTACACGGGCATGCCGTCTTCACTCGCGGGGAGCACGCCCCTTTCTGTCCTCAGGCCACCGCCCTAAGTGGCTTGGCCGCCAGAGAAGGGAGGGGTCCTCACCTCCTGCGGGCGAGGCTCCCGCACCAGAGGCGACCGTCTGAAGGTGGCGGGCAGCCCTCACGGTGGCCTCCGAGGTTGTCCGGGCGATGAATCAGCTGCAGCAGCGCCGTCCGGATTCCTCGTGCCTCCCCTCCATGCAGGACGAGTGGCCGCTGCTGTCAGCCAGCTAGGCTACTGAGCTGGGCTCCGCATCGTCGTTGCCCGGAGTCTTCTTCTCCGAGCGCCCCGCCCCTACCCAGCTCTTGGCAGAAGCACGAGCGGCTGGGCCAGATCTGGTTCAGCACCACCAGGCGGCGGACAGCGCCCGCGAGCGGGCGGAGAAGGAGTCAGTGCGGACTCCAGGTGCGCACCGCCCTCCAGGCTGCTGCGCTGCGGCGGCCACCTCGGCATCACCCGGCCCGGAGGCTGTCGCCGTCCCGCTCCCCGGCCACTGCTCTCGGAGCTGCCTCCTCGCAGACCGGTATTGACCCGCGTCCCCGATTCGTCTCGCCAGCTCCGATTCCTACGGCGCCCCTGACCTTGGCCTCACCACGCAGCAGCGGCGGGCGGGGAGCGAGCGCCCGCTGGCTCGGGAATCCCCTCCCGGCCCCGCCGCCTCCCGCGCCCGCCGCGCCAAGCGCCCAGGAGTTGTAATTTCCAGAGCGAGAGTAACGGGGCGGGGGGCGGGGAGCCAGGCGTCAGCTCAGCGAATGAGGGCTCGCCTCTCGCTGCTGGCAGTCAGGGGCCGGTCGGAGGGCTTCGCAGGGAGGATCATTGTGGAGAGCAGCTCGCGATTCGGATGGAGACTGCACGGTGAATTAGCACGGCGCCCCGCCCCGCCTGCCAAAGCGCCCTTGGCCGGCTCCCGCCCTGCCCACTCCCGGCCACCATGAAAGCGTAAACAGCAGCGGCTAAAAGGCCAGTCGCTTAGAAAAAGGCCCCGCAGAACAGCGCGACAGTCGCTTCCTAAATCTATTTTCCCCGCAAAAGCTTTCAAGGCACAAAATGTCGGACAGCCTCCCGCCAAAGGGCGACGTTTGATTTATGCCGCCACAAGCCTTTTTGTCTCCTCGATTCTACTGAGGCTGGTCGTGGACGACGAGGCCCGGAGCGGGACACCGTGAAGGTTGCTAAACACAACCTCCCCAGGGTGCTCGCGGGTGGGGAGAAGCTGGAGGCGGCGAGCAGGTGTTCGCTTTATGAATGGGAGCTTCCTGCTACGCCGCCGCCCGCGCGCCTGGCGGCCCGGCTCCTCCCGCCACCGCGCCGGGTAGTGACAACTACCCAGAGAAGGGAAAGCCGAACTCCACAGGCTTGGAGCTAAGGGCGGGCCGGGGAAGGGAACAGCTTGTTGGGGTGGGAAGAGCGCATGGAACTAAAGGCGCGCCACGAGGCCCTCTCTTCCTGTGGGATTCACGCTGGCTGGGAATAGACAGGAAAATTGTCGATTTAAAAAGAATGTTGTCAGCCAGCAAGGTGGCTCGTGCTTAACTTGAGAGGCTGAGGCAGAAGGATTGCTATGAGTTCAAGGCCAGCTTGCGCTGCATAGTAATTTCCAAACTAGTGCGGGTTACATAGTAAGACTCTTCCGGATAAAAAGCAAACAAAAACATCAACCGTGGTTCAGACCTGTGCTGAAGTGATGCAGGGCACCGAGCCACTGCCAGTGTTTGGAGAGTCAGCAATAGGGAGGAATGAAGCCACGGAAGAATGAGGCAGCTGCCTTGGCCTGGCTCAGTGCCTAAAGGATAAAATCTCTGGCGAGAGGGAGGTCTCTGGAAAGGCCATGGCAAAGAACCCCAATAAAGCCCAGACCTTCACAGGATTCCCCGGGGTTCTGCAGCTTGCTTCCACTTTTGCCTAGTCTGGAAAATACTATAATCGCACTTATGTGTATGCATCAAATTTGTTACTGTAAATAACAGACGTCGTGGCCTACTTTAAGCATCTCACCTCAGCTAACCTGAATAGTTTACAGGAGCCTGGTTTGGTGTTGAAGAGTAGGCCCTTGCTAAATAATAGACATGACATGAATCCTGCCTCTTGCTCCTCAGGAAACAATGCTGTCCCCAGGTGGGAGGTGGGGATGAGCCTGTCCTAATCTGTTCCCTGTAGATGAAACCGGCAACACATTCAAAAACTCTTCAGAAATGACTTTGAACCCAAAGTCTAGGAGAGGGACAGCATGAGTTATTGAATGCTCTTCAAGAGGCCTTTCTGCTAAACCCAGCTGTCCAGCTCAGCCCTGCCCCTGGTGACCACAATGGAAGCCAGGACCTCTTAAAAGCAGGAGGGATCCTGACCTCCCCAGCATCACATACTTGACCCGTTTCATTTTGTCATTTCAGACCATGGCAGCTTGCTTAGGTTTGGGCAGGGTAGCCCTTCTAACTAGATATGTGTCTCTCTGCACAAGCAAGACTTACCATGAAGCCACTCCTAGCCTGGCGTAGTAAGTAGCATGCACATGAAATCTCAGCATTTGGAAAGCTGCAATAAGAACATAGCCAGTTCCAGGCCAGCCTGGACCACAGAGTGGGACCCTGACTCCGCAAACAAACACAAAGAAGCAAGCAAAGTTTCTCCTTTGTTTTTCGTACATCAAACAGAACACCCGGGCATCTCCCCGTGCTCTCAGATGCCAACACTGTGTTCTATAGCCCAAGTCAACTCAGCCCAGTGCTAGACTGGGACCCAGGCTCTGCCTACATAGAGGACTGGCTTCCTGCCATGTCTGCCTGTGAATCAGTTCCAGCCAGTTCTCACACATAACCGCAATCACTGTTGTCTATTAAAAATCCTATCTGCAGCCCGGCCTGGGTGGTGCATGCCTTTAATCCCAGCACTTAGGAGGCAGAGGCAGGCAGATCTCTGTGTGTTCAAAGCCACCCTGGTCTATAGAGTGAGCTCTAGGACAGGCTCCAAAGCAATACAGAGAAACTTTGTCTTGAAAACAAACCAAAAAAAAATCCTATCTGCTGCAACTGTGATATGACCCATATGCACACAAAGATCGTTACTTTGTGGCCAGTGAAATTGCTTAGTGAGTGAAGTGCTTGTTGAGCTAGCCTAGCTACCTGAGTTTGAGTCTTAGAACCCAGGTAAAGGCAGACAGAGGGAACTGACTCCACAAAGTTGTCTTCTGACACACACACCCACACCCACACACAAGGTTTTTTTTCTTCAGGTTACAAAATTTAGAACAGTGCTGGGCAGTGGTGGCACACGCCTTTAATCCCAGCATTTGGGAGGAAGAGGCAGGCAAATCTCCGTGAGTTTGAGACCAGCCTGGTCTACAAGAGCTAGTTCCAGGACAGCCTCCAAAGCCACAGAGAAATCATGTCTCAAACCCCCCAAAAAAATAAGAACAAAATTCATTACTTTTCTTCTGATAATAGAATATCAGTCTATTTGTTGTTTCTAAGAATGATTCATCCAAGGGCTAAAGAGCTGGCTCAGCAGTTAAGAACACTTTCTGCTTTTTCAGAGGACCCGGGTTCAGTTCCCAGCACCCAGGCTGAATTGTTCACAACTGCCTAGAACTCCTTTGAGCTCAAGGGGATGATACCTCCAGTCTCTGCAGGCACCACAATGCACTTACCCATATCTATTCACACAATTTTAAATAAGTGATTTATCTCACTTTAAAAAATATTTCCAAGTCAGAGTTAGAGGCTTACACCTGTAATCCCAGCATTCAAGAGGCTGAGGATGTAGGATTGCTGGGAATTTGAAGCCAGCCTAGTCTACATAATGGATTCCAATCTAGTTTCGTCTACACTATAAGATTCTATCTCAAATAACATTCACAACAACAACAACAATTTCTTTCTTTCTTTTTTTTATGAGACAGAGTTTCTCTGTATTGTTTTGGAGGCTGTCGGACCAGCCTGGCCTCGAACTCACAGAGATACGCCTGCCTCTGCCTCCCGAGTGCTAGGATTAAAGGCGTTTGCCACCACCGCCCGGCAACAATTTCTTAAATAAAGAAATTTGACTCAGTATTGGTATTACAATCCATTTTTCCCAAGTCACTACTAGTGCATTTTTAAAAAGATTTTATTTGTATTTTATGTACATGAGTGATTTTCCTGCATGTCTATAAGTATACCACATGCATGCAGTGCCTGTGGAGACCAGAAGAAGGCACCATATCCCCTGGAACTGAAGTTAGAGATGGTTTTGAGACACTTTGTGGGAGCCGGGAACAGATCCTGGCTCCACTGCAAAAACAGCCAGTGCTCTGAACCACCGAGCCATCTCTCCAGCCCCCTTCCAGGGTTTTTGTTTGTTCTGTTTTCACTTTTTGTTTTTGATTTTCAAGAGAGGGTCTTCATGTCCTGAACTCACTCTATAGATCGGGCTTGTCTTGAACTCAAAGATCTGCCAGCCTCTGCCTTCTGAGTTCTGGAATTAGAGGCGTGTGCCACTACCACCTGGCTTTCTAATGTGTTTTAAAGTCTGGGCTTTTGATAACTCCAGGCAAGTAGCAATATTCACATGACCAATATTCAACAGTATGAAAATAGAACCCTATTTAGTTCTTACGACCTGGGAAGCAGGCTCAGATATACATATTTTTAGATATTGATGTTGGCCACAAAAAAATTATTCAACAAATGACCCACACTTCTCTTCCCACCTTTACCTGGGACCTTTGTTGGTGAATAGTTGTGCAAGCAAATTAGTAATTAACACTATACAAACCAAAGTCCCCCAAAGGTTACTTCAAATAATGTGACTTTTACTCTCAAGTGTCCCAGTAATCCTCAAGAGACAAGTTCGTATTACTCATATAAAAATAGCACGGTTGACTTAAATAATTCACCCCAGCTAACACAGCAAGGTAGAGATAAAGCAGTCCTACTGTGTTGCCTTTAGAACCTTTTCAGATTCATGTTGTGCGGGGGTGTGGTGGGAGTGGGATGGGGACAGGGTGAGGGTGGGGGTAGCGCATGCCTTTAATCCCAGCACTCAGGAAGCAGAGGCAGGCAAATCTCTGTGAGTTCGAGGCCAGCCTGGTCTTCAAAGATAATTCTAGGACAGCTTCCAAAGCCACAGAGAAACTTTGTCTTGAAAAACAAAACAAAACAAAAAAACAAAAAAAAAATTTCAAGTTGCAGTCCAATGAAATTTAAGGCTTTCTCAGTGAAAATTGATGTTGTGGTCTCAAGTATAAACTCTAAATTCTAAAATGAATTTGAAGTGAAAATTCACATTACCACTCTTTTGAGTTCAGTTTTTATAGTTATTGTTTGGTTCTGTTGCAGAATGGACAGATTCCGGGAAATTAGAAACCTATAGCCCAGGAATCAGTGGCTTGCTGTGGTTTGCCTTAGCTCTTCAAGAGTATCTGTCTCCATGTCTGTGCTTTGTAAGTTAACAGCTTCTGTGTGGCATTGCTGAGGAGAGACCATCGTCAGTAGCCACACAACAAGCAGCTGACTTCTTTTCCAGATAACAGACTCCAGTAAACTTAAAAATCTAGCTACTTCCCTCTCTAAACATTATTGACTAGTGCATAAGAATCATATTTTAAGATTTTAAAATTCTCAATTATGTATATGCATGTGTGTCTGTACCTGCATAAGTACAGTTGCTCATGGATGCCAGAAAAGAGCACTGGGTCTCCTGGAGTTGGAGTTGCAGGCAGTTGTGAGCTGCCTGGTGTGGGTGCTGGGAATCAAACTCAAGTCCTCTAGAAGAGCAGACACACTCTCAGTCGCTGAGACATCTCTCCATCCCCAAGAATCATATTTTAATTTTGTGTGTATGTGTACATATATGTGTGAGCTGGCA